TCAATAGCAAGAATCCAAGCATTACCTGAGACAGGCTAACTTTATGAGGAAAAGAGGTTTGGTTTAGCTCACAGATCGGGAAGTTCAAGAAGTGATACTAGATCAGCTTGGCTCTTGGGAAGGTCTCATGGCAGAAGCAGGTGCATGACAGATATCACAGTACCAAACAGGAAGCAGACGCCAAGTCAGTCAAGGGTTGGGCTTACTCTTACAAAAGCTCACTTTCTTGAGAGTCTAAAGGTCCTATAAGAATGACCTTAATTCCTTGTGAGGGCAGCTCCCCCAGTGACATAAGGACCTCCCATTAGACTCCAACTCTTTTTCTGTTTGTTTGGTTTTGGTACTGGAGGTTTGAACTCAGGGCCTTGTGCTTGCTAGGCAGACATTCTACCACTTGAGCCACTCCACTGGCCTTAGGCCCCAATGCTTAAAGCTTTCCTTACCTCCCACTGGTGACCTAGCCTCCAACACATGAACCTTTGAGGAAACAAACTAAATCCAAAGTATAGCAAGAGGATGTTAGAACGAAAATGGAACAAAGACACAACTCCTATGGACTAGAGTTATCTGAAGCATGCCAGGGCCAGCTAGACACTACAGGATGAATGACCTTGGAAGGAAGGTCATTCAAGAGACCCACAATAAACAGCCATATCCAGTCTCCCTAGCATTCTTTTTGTAAGAGATCACAGTAAACATATTTGGTTAAAAATGTAAACTTATCTTTTACTCTCAATTTACAAAATCAAATTTTCTGCATCTTTCTCACCCTGGTTAAGAAGCAGGGAACAATGTATGACACCAATCTGTCCCCTGGCTCAGATGGAAGATTCTATTGTAGCCCCAGGCAAGAGCTCCATGCCAGGTAGAGAGATGAATTTGGGGAGTATGTGCCCTGCCTCTGCAGGAGGCTCCCTGGTCCATTCGGTGTAACTTAGAAAAACAGGTGTTGAAGCCAGAATGGGGCCTGGAGATTCACCTAACCTTCTGCTCCCCGCCCCGCTGCTCCTGTTCCCCATCGAGAAATAGGAGAGGCAAGCAGGCAGCTGTGTGGCCCAGGAAGGTGAAGGCCATTGTGGCAGGTACAGCCCCTGGGGGTGCTCCTTGGTGCTGTTCTAATTTGGCCCCAGAAGCACTGTACTAGCAAGTGTGGCACAAACGGCGGGTTGTAAAATGGCATATTCAATTTGGGGGGCCCCTTCTCCCCCCAACCATGGAGGTCTCAGAAGCCAAACCAAGGAATTTGCTGGAATCTAGCAGTTCTATAGCAATGATGTCCTGGAAGTCTTATGGCTAGAGAGCTCATGATTTGAGTTTTTAATTAGATTCCCTTCCCAGGCCTCGATGGAGAATAAAATAGCTCTAAATTCTCATAAACAAAACTTTGAGCTGCAAAAATCACATGAAAACATTCTTATTGGGAGTATTTCCTTTAAAAAGAATGTATTGTGAAAATGATTCACTCCTCTTCCCAGCCAGAGAAACTATACTTAACTATGATCAGAAATCTCACAGAAACAATTTTGAGGTGAATATGCACGTACCCCAATTCTCTGAAACTACTCGACATTCCACATGCATCTCTTTTCCTGTGGGAAGGTCAAGGGATGGGGGAGCTCCATCACCTCCCTTTTGGTCAAGGAAACCTGGAATCATCTCTGTCCAGTCACTATAGGGGAGGACAGAGGTGGTTCTCAGTTAGGGGTGACTTGGCCTCCCTAGGGATATTTGCTTTCAGCGGTGTCTAAAGATACTTTGGGAAGAAAGGAGGATGGGGGTACAATTGGTACAGGTCAGAGATGCTTGGGAACGTCCTACATAGCACACAAGCACCCCAATGACAAAGACTACTCTGTCCCAAATGTCACAGCACCAAGGGGGAGAAATGCTGCTTCTGGTGGGCAGCTGAGCACTGGGATGGTTCTAAGTAGTTCACACATGGGTCAGCTCACTGTACCCAGCACAAGAGAGAGGTTCCACTGCCACACATAGCTTGCAAATGGGAAAACTGAGGTTCAGAGAAATCAAGTCACTTGCCCAAGAGCACATAGTGAGTGTTAAGTTCAAATTGGAACCAGGCCACTCAGCTCCAGAAACCATTGTGTCTTGGGACGTGGCATGGCCTTCCAGCGCCTTGCTGTTCCTGCCCACACCCCAGCAGTCATGGGTCCTCCAGCGCAACCCTTTTTCACATCCATTGGCTCTGTGTCCATCGCTCTGTCCCACTCAAGTAGGCATCTTCTCTTTTTGGGACCATGGTGACACACTCCTTGCTTCAGGCTCCACGCCCTTCTAGCTCACCTCCCACACCCCACTGCTGTCTGTGTCACTTCCCAAAAACCCTTCTGGGCATACTTCTCCTCTCCCTGAGATCACCCATGAGAAAAAGGCAAAAGTCCTCAGGCTGGCATCTAAGCACAGACTGGACTTCTCACTCTCCAGGGCTTCTCTGGCCTCTAATTCCTTTTCCATCATTCAACACACTGTGCTGTGCTCTCCTCTCTGCCTCTACTCTGCTTCCAACACCCACCCCACCTTGCTTACCTGGCAAACAACTTCAAGAATCAGTCCCAGTGTCACTTCCTCCAGGAGGCCCTCCTGAGCACCTCTGCCCTTGGGCTGGAACCGACTACTCCCTTCTCTGTGCCTTTATTACAACAGCTTCTATCAACACGCCTTACAATTTGCCAATGCTGTCAAGTTCATCCCTCAAGAGCAAGGGCCTTGTATCATTACACTTATCTCTGAAGTTCCGCTAGGAGACTAAGCAGTCACTTAGCAAGCATTGCAAGAATAAACGATGAAACATCCGAATAGCATGAATTCCTCCAGGGCAGGGGGAGTCACTATCTGCACAGTGAACACTGTCATTCTTAGGAGGTCAATTTCTACTTCACTGTGATTTACGGTGCTGGTTCCATGCCCACGAACACCACAGTGCCCCCTTACCACCAGGACAGCTCTTACACCCCCAGTCTCCTCTCCCCCATGCAAATATCTCCTGCTCCTAACAGGCACAGTGTCATGATCCCTCGTGGCCCTCCAGTGTGACTGAATTACTAAGCAAATCCAAATCACAATGGGCCAGAAGAAGCTGGCTGTGTTAGGGAAAGATATGCAAATTCCCATGCTAGAATATATTCTAATCAGGAGTCCCAAGTTCAAGTGCCTAAGGGGTCCAACAGGTCAGATCCATGAAGGTAGGAGGCAGGAGGTGAGGAAAAGGCAAGTGGGGTCATGCATGGTCAGAGGATGCCAGAGGATGTCTGAGCCTCACTCCAAGATTGCTGCCTGTAGAAACAGCAGCCCAGGTTGCCAGATCTTTGGATTTTTTTTTTTTAAAGAAGAGCAAGAATTCTACATTATTCCACCAGTTTTTAGATACTGATAATTAAATTCTTTTTTTAAATACACACCAACTGCATTTGGGGGCCAACTCTGGCTGTGGGCTGTCCATTTGTGTCCTTGGCTTTAGATGAAGAAATGCTTGAGTGATTCCTAAATTTAAGTTTTTGTGTTTAGCGTTGGAAATGTGCACATATATATTGAGAGTGGTGGACATCCAGGGCAAATTTAAATTTGAAATTAAACTAGAGCACTAAGGTTAAAAATAACACTGAGGCATAAATCACCATAGAGGGTGAGTGAGACTGAAAGAAGTGGAGAGACTTCCTACACTTGATCTTAGCCAAAAGGCCGAGAAGCAATGTGGAGAGACTTCCTAACCAGGGCCTAAAGTCAAGGCCAGGGCTCAGTTACCTGTCAACAAATCCATCTCCAGCAGCGCCTGGAACAAGCTGGGGTGTCTGTCCTTCAACTCCTTCTCCCAGGGAAGGGCTCTGCACGTGGAGGGTCTCCCATACCTGCGCCTGAGGTCCAGATAGGAGTTGTGGAGATCACCTACACAGAAGTATGAGACATCACACTCTCAGGAGAGGCAAACGTCACCCCTGTAAAACTGCCCTTTCCAAGAGGAGCCAGGAATAGGAGTTCAGATGTACCGTTACTGGATGTTGGCTCGGGTTGTTTAGGGATCTGAAATTGGCCGTAATGCTGCTGCCTTGAGGTCAGCTGTCAGAAGGCAATGTGCCAAAGTCGCTGATGGCTGTTGACTAATTCTACAGAATGAGCAGCTGGCCTCTGACTGGTCCCCAGGAGCCCAATATCTAGGCCATTTTCTTGGTACACAGGCCAAGTCCAAGGACCCCTCGGAAGGTGGGACAGTTTAGGACATTAGGAAAATCTCCCTGATGCCACCAAACAGGTTGACATGGCATGCAAGTCTGATCTTCTAACTCAGGGAATCTCTCCTGATACTGCGCAGGTTACTGCCTCAGTTTCCCTCTGTTTGGGACATTACTATTCCTTTGCATCTGACAGCCTTCTGACAGCAGCACCACAGTTCCTGGATGACTCAGTGCGGCAGACAGCAGCCACGACAATCTGTACTGGTTTTTTTCAGGAGAGGGGTTTTGAACTCAGGGCCTCAGCCTTGCTAGTCAAGCATTCTACTACTTGAGCCACACACCCCCAGTCCTTTTCTGTTTCAGTTATTTTTCAGGTAAGGTCTTGAGTTTTTGTGTAAATCCAGTCTTGGAGTAAGATCCTTCTACTTCTACCTCCCAAGGAGCTGGAATTACAGGTGAGCATATTCTTTTTTTTTTGTAGGATTTGAACTCAGCATCTACACCTTGAACCACCAGCTCTTTTTTGTGATGATTTTTTTTTTTTTTTGAGATAGGGTCTTGCAAACTATTTTCTGGGGCTGGCTTGGAACCACAATCCTCCTGATCTCTACCTCCTTAGTAGCTAGGATTACAGGCCTGAGCCACTGGTACCTGGCAGGTGAGCCTATTCTTGAATGGAACCGCAGGAGTTTGGCCCTTCCAGCCATCTGTCACCCTGTCTAACCACCCTGTGACTCTGTCTGCAAGGCCTGGAACACTCCAGAGATGGTGAGACAATTCAGGCAAGATTGAAATAGACACTCGCTTTTGCAATGGCAAAGACCCCACAGGAATTTCTCAGCCAAAAGGACATATGTGACTAACTCTAGTGCCGCCATATCAAACAAGATCTATAGCCCCGAGAAATTTATAAATGGTAAATCCAAGCTGGGACCCTGGGAACCAAGACAGCACCAAATTTTGTAAGTGACTAACACCCCGAGTGAGAAAAAGGAGGTCGTGCAAATCTGAGCACTGTGAAAGCGGACTATTTGAGATTCATTCCTTCTGTTGAAATTTACCAATGCCTTCCTGGAGTCAATTTCAAGGACTTAGAAAATAAACAGGAACCCAAAACAATTCAGTCATTGTTCACCATTTCTAAAAGCTAATATTCAGATACTAATGGCTCAAGACAAACGTGTACTGACAGGGAAACATTTCTAATGATTCATTTTTTTTTCTAAGTCATTTTTATTTTCTTAGACTGGCCTTGTGGATAGGAATAATGGCAAGCGAGGCTCAGACACTCCCTTTCATTCGTATTCACAAACAAGATTAGGTCTGGTGGGAGCTAAGAGACTCGTCTGGGTTCTTCTTGGCTGTGGCTGGTGTTTTTGTGGGATCCAGGTGGAAGGTGCTTTCATTTGCATTTACCTGTAGAGGGCTCAAGGTCCTACTTGTCTCCATTGGTGTCTGAGCCAAATGTGTGAGTACAGATGTACCGAGCTTAAAAACAACCCTCTCGGAGCTCCATACTTACATGCTTCCTGCCTCTCATGGCCGACCTGTGCTGTCGAAGTATGCACAGATATTATTTCTTGAACCTCAGCACACCGATCGTAATACAACTTGATTTGTTCAGCTAGTTGCTCCTCACGGAGGGGATTAAGGATCTACAGGAGCCAAGAAGATGGTGAACAATTATCACACACTCACTGACTGAGACCTGTGAGGATGTGACATCACCAGCTGTCTTGTTTGAATGCCTATCATCCACCTGGGTTTGTAAAGCAAGGGTGTTAGTGTGAATGCAAGGACGAGTCAGCTCGGGCTTCTTTTTGTGGCATCCTCTCCTGCCTTCTAATGTGTCAGATCTCCCAGAGACTAGGCCTCTGCCCTCTTCTTTTCTCCTGCTGTATGTTTTTCCTAGAAAATCACATTCCTCTCCGTCTCCCATACTCACTGAGCGATGCCTGTTCTACCCACACTGCCTGATGTCTGGGACTCCTCCTCCCATTTCCTTCTGCTTGGCAGGCTCCTACTCAACCTGCAAGAGCCAAATGCAAGAAAAAGCAGCAGTTGCTAGGCAAAGCCATAATTAGGAAGCTGCGTCAGGGCACATTTCCCTACAGCCCACCCACCTCTCGAGCATGATCACGTGCTCACGTGGGAATTGAACCATGCCATATGATCTTTCATGGCTTACAGGTCAAAGGCCCCTTAAGAGCAGGGGACTTAACTCAGTGTATTTCAAGTACACATTTGGACCTAATACCATGAAATTATTCCACTGGGTTGTAACCAGCAGTGGTGTTGTTTTGGGTTTGCTAGGCAGGCGCTCTACCTCTGAGCAAGGATATTTATTCTTAGTAATGCTTTTCAGTTTAGACTACCTTCAAAAAAGTCGAAAGCTACCACCTTAATCCAGCTTGCTCACCCAGCACCTAGCAGACACTCAGTAAATATTTATTGCACAAATATGTAAATGAATTCCCTTTCATAGTGCTCTCTGAGATGTCACCGTGGGCGGAAGGGCTTCCCATTTGTCTTAATTATGGTTTTGCCTAGTGACTTTTGCTTATTCCAGAACAAACTCCACAGGGTCAAGGACAGGAGAGATTGTCCCCCTGTCAGGTATTAGGTGAGGTTCCTGATGTCCTTAGTACAACTGAGAAAACTCCATCTATTGACTGCTGTGAGGATCCTTTGGAGAGAATCCCCTCTTCCCCCAGCCCCCCGGAGAGTGGACGGTTCCCATCGTGGGTGGGTTTGGATGTGAGCACCGGGGTGCAGTAGAATCGGCTGGGAACACAAAGCCCCTTCTGTACCACTGCATCCAGCCCACCTCAGCAGGAAGCCAAGCCTGGGCTTCAGCAGAAAGCCAGGAATGGTATCAAGACTTTAATTTGCTGCAGCACCTCCTCCTCTGATACCTTAAATAATAGCGTATGAAAGAAGCTTTACCAAATAACTAAGATTCTCTCCTTTCATTAGCTTAATCACTGGATAGGCAACAGCCTGATAAAAATCTACTCTATAATTAAGCTAGTAGTTATTAAAACAGAGGAAGTAAATGGGTTCCATTTTATGAGTACTAAATGAACCAAACGTTCTCAGAAATCTATTATGGCCTTGGCTGGGGGGAAAGCCTTGGTATTAATTATGTTTGATGACTGAGCCCATACTTGGTCAGGTCTGCTTGGCTGAACCTTTTGTTTATAGTGGGCTCCCTGCCCCTGAGTGGCCCACCCATCACCCACACTCCGTGCAAACTTCTCCACCATCCCCTGGCTCACCTGTGTAGGGTGCAGACTGTGGAGGCGATAGTACTTCAGGGGTCCAAAAAACCCTTCAATGCCAGGCACATACCTGCTGCCTCCAATAATGAAGTACCCAGATGTGTCGTTGTAATAGAAATCCTCATGGAAGCTGGGGACACACAAAGCATTAAGAGAGCCCTGGGCTGAAACCAGAGTATTTCAAAAGAGACTTTGTCACTGACCCTACTTGACGTAACTCAGATTGCCTCAGCCCTTCACTCTGGTTTCAGCCCATGGGGTCAGGTCGACTCTGGCTAGGATCTCAGCTCTATTAGTCACCAGCTGTGCGACCATGGTCCAGTCACTTAACCTCTCTGAGATGGATTTCCTCTCTTATTGGATTGTTAGGATTGTTAGGATTGGGTATATATGTAAAGCAGAGGGCCCGGTCCACAATAAATGCCCATGTGTGCTGACTGTTGATATGGCTATCGTGTTTGCAATCCATGGAATGATTGAGAAATGGTGCTCTTAATTAGAAGCATCTTGCTTTTAAAAGGGGAAAAAGTATCAAATGAGTAAAAGGTGGCTGTGGGGGAAGACTGTTGATAAGGACTAAGGTAGAATTGGGTGAGGAGAAGGAGAAGGCTATGTTAAGGTCAAACAGCTTGGCCACAGACAAGAGGTCAGAACAGGCGATGTGACAGATGCCATGTGCACTGAGGGCTTGAAGCAAGAGGAAAGACCTGGGGAAAGTGGTTAGCAGGCATGTTTCTTGTAGCGTTGTTTATATTCACCGAAGATGGGAAGACCCCAGGTGTCAGTCCATCCATAAGCCCTGGACATGCAGCTTAGGAAGGGAACAAAAAGATCTGCCCTACCCAGTGTAGCTCTTACCTATGAAAAACGAGGATGACTTTTTGTACGTGCATAAAATCTAGAAATGCACACAAGGTATTATGTCATAAAGTGGGGAATATGGGATAAAGAGAATGGAGGTAGAGTTTGGAGCAAGACATCTAACTGCGTTTTCATAGTTTATTTTTTTCAGTGTTAGTCTTTTAGACTATGTGCATTTATTAGCTATTCAAAAATTAAAATAGGAATGGGTGGACATGGTGTGACCGACCAGAACATATGTGATGGGAGGGGGGTCAGAACAGGTGTCAGGTGAGAAGCCAGGCAAAGAGGAAAGAGCCAAGGATTGTAGAGGGCAGATGGAAGCACCAGGAGAGAAAAGAAAATGTCAGGCAGGCCACTAAGAGCCCAGGGAGTAAAGGAAACAAAGGGCCTGGATGACATAGATAGGACAGAGCCAGCTGCCTACAGTTGGATCAGGGAAGCCACACAAGTCAGGGTGATTGCAGGACTGGAGACAGGCTGACTGCCTCTTAGCAAAGACCCCTGCTCCTTGCAGGTGCTCTGGATGGAGAGGAGGCAGGAAGGGAAGAAGCTGGCATGTGCTGACAGCATCCACTGACAACAACAAGCGTGCGCACACAACCCCAGGAAAGGAAGGGCTTCACCTCCAGTATTTATCTTTTCAGAATCTCATCCTTGAAGACCTAAGAGATGAAGGTCCCTTCCCATTTTTTCCAGATGGACAGCAGTTATTAAATCAGAGTATGAATTGACTCTGTTTTTCATGACCTTGGAAAGACTGGAATATTCTAACAGTTCTCAGGAGATAGGACCAAGCACTCGATGGACAGGAAGCAATGTTTCCTGGTAAAAGCATTCTTAACGCCCTCCACTTAACCAAGCCTGCAGTTTACCTGAGGTCCCCACTCCTCTGCACACCTAAGGACGGATGGCTATGACACACGATGCTCCTTGGCCAGAGGCTGCTCTCTGGAGCCTTCATCCCCCCATTAAAAAATGGAACTAGTTATACTACTTCCCTCCATGGTCATTGTCAAGGTTAAATGAACTACAGATTGAGTATCCCCTAACTGAAATACTTGCAACTAAAATGGTTTCAGATTTTGGAGGTTTGTTTTTGGTTTTTGTTTTTGGTTTTTTTTTTTAATATTTCAATAGACTTTACTGGTTGAGCATCCCTGATTGGAAAATCCAAAATCTCAAGTGCTCTGAAATTTGAAACTGTTGGAATTGATGGAATATTCCAAAGCCAAACATGATGCTTAAAAACTGTCATCTTTCAGAGCATTTGGGATTTCAGGTTTTCAGATTAGGAATGCTCAACCTTTAACAAATAAACAAAGCACTTAGAGCCGTGTTGGCACATAGTAGGTACCCTAACTGCTATGAGTTTTACCTAGTCCTCTGCCAGATTTTTCCTCCCACCTTTTGAGGTGCATTCTTAGAAACACTAAGATGTGCTTATTCTCCAACTAGTCAGTAGAATTGCACAATCATTGGAATCAACGTCGTTTTACTTAGGTAGGTGATCCAACGAAAGAGGAGTTGGGAAGAAGGAGTTGTCCTTTCACAAAAGTCAAGCTCAGTACTTTGGGTAGACTCAGTAAGAGGTTTAAAGAATGGGTGTAGAATTATAACACAACTGTAAAGGAAGGAAAGATGCTGAAGAAACCTAGATAGGTTTGTCTTTAGCTGTTGCTCAAGTGTCTTTGTCTTCTTTTCATTTGGAAGAAACAAACTGAGTGTTGTTTATGTAGAAAAGACCACAGAGGACTCCAGTTTCCAGATCAAAGGAAAGGCCCAATCTTAAAGGCAAATGAGCAAGCACTTACACCACATTCCCTTATTATCAGGGGGGATATGTTCTAAGATCCCCAGTGGATACCTGAACATTTGGATGGTTTTCAGGATATATTTTTCTTCTCTATACATACTTATAATAAAGTCTGATTTATAAATTAGGCACAAATGATAAAGATGGAACAATTACAATGAAATACTGTAATAAAAGTTATATGAATGTGGCCCTTTTCTCTCTCAAATCTTACTACCCTGTACTCACAACTTGTGGTGATGTGAAGCATTTAACAGCTTCTCTGGTATTTCTGAATTGCCAGTGCCACTATTCTTACATTTTAGGGCTATTATAAGTAGAATAAGGGATACTTGAACGCAAGCACTCCAATCCTTAATGGATGATGTGATAACCAAATACAGAGTGATTAATAAGTAGGTAGCATATACAGCATGGATACGCTGAACAGAGGGATTTTTCACACCCCAGGCTGGATGAAATAAGGCAGCAGAATTCATCATGCTACTCAGAATGGTGTGTGATTCAAAACTTACAAACTGTTTATTTCTGAAATTTTCCATTTAATATTTTTGGGCTTCAGTGGATTCTGGGTAAATGAAACAATGAAAGGAAAACCTTTGATAAGAGAGGAACACTGTACCGTTTTTTAAATGAAAATAAAATGCCTAAGGTGAGGATCTTTTTACTGTGTCCTTGCTTTAACTGAGTCTTTTGACTAATAATAAATTACTCTGTCCCTATGGCACTGGGCTGTAATTTTCAAGTTATTGTTATCAACCATCAGGAGACCTTTCCGGCTTGGTCTCCATGTCCATCTACACACTGATGTTCCCACATTCTTGTCCTCTGAAATTCTCAGTGTCTGTACAAAGATGGCAAGAGATTCCTCGTACTGCACTGTTGATGGTTGGTCATTAATTTCACTGACATAAAGGCTGAGCTACACACTTCCAAAGCCCAAACCTGTCCCTTTCGAAAACCTCAAATGCACCCAGGTGCTATCTTTACTCTTATCTGGACACAGAGAACCCTGGTTTCTTACTGCAGAGCAACAGGGCACAAAGATTCATAGACATTGTTAGGCAGGCCCCCTCAGACCAGGAAACGGCTCCAGCTTGTAGATGGGGAACTTAGAGCCTCAAAATAGCTGCCCTTCCCCTCTGATGTAATTGTCATCTGCAGTGTGACTTCCTCAGGACCTGACTTACACTCTGACCATCTAGATAGCCTCTCAAGCTGCTCTCTCCATTTCCTTCCCAGCATTCAGCTTAACTTGTAATTTTTAATCTATTTATGTAGTATCTGTCTGTCCCATTAGACTTTGCAGCTCTCTGAAGGCAGGGACTGGATTCTTTCTGTTTATCAGTTTATTCTCAGAATCAAGCACAGTCTCTGTCATATAATACATAATAAATATGTACTGGATGGATGGATAGATGGATGGATGGATGAAGGGAGGGAGGGAGGCGGGTGGGAGGAAGGGAGGAAAAGATGAATGGATGGAGCACTGCAGAGGACTGAAGTTGTTCCTGTCACTGAATGTGACTGATGGCCTCTCATTTGTATGTGGCACTCCTGAGCACCTAATTCCTGGTCATCCAACAATGCCTTCATGGGGTACAGCAAACATGATGCCTTCTATTGCAAGAACAAAAGAGATCAGGAGGCTTTCCTTGGAACACCTATAAGGTGACCTGAAAGATTTGGTATTCACTTCACTGGCTTGATCCCCTCTGAAAGTGGGGCTGAAATTCCAGATACCTAAGTCCAAGAACCCCAGGACAGATATGCACCCCTATAGGCCACTAGCAGTTCTGCTGGTGGGGGAGGGAGGCCCCAGAAGAGCAGGAAGGGCCCCTGAGGTGGCACTGAAGCACACTCGGGGCTGGCACTGCTAATATCAATTCTGATGCTTTAAATGGAATGAATTGGTACATACCTCAAAATCAGTCCTGACCCTTGAGGTCTTATATGATCATATCGAGTCTGTCTTATCTTCAAAGTTGGATGTTTAATCATCATGGATTCTTTGCCTCTCTTTTGGGGTTTTTATAAGATTGTATTAAACTATTTTGTTATTATGATTCCTATTGAGTTAAATTGTGCCTCCTTCCTGTCCCACATGCTGAAGGGTGAAACCCTGTACCTCAGACTGTGATCTTATTTGGAAGTAGGGTTGTTGTGGATGTCACAAATTAAGGTAAGGTCACGCTGGGGTCAGCTTGAATTTATAATCCACATCTGTATCAAAAGGGGGACATCTAGACATAGACACACACATGGAGACACCACGGGTTAAGAGTGGAGTTACAATGCCACGACCAAGGAGCCAGGAGAATGGCCTGTAGCCAATCCTCCCCTAGCAACTTCAGTGGGGACAGTGGCCCTGTGAAATGCCTGAAGAACTGAGAAGACAAGGTTTGGTTGCTAAAGCCACTCAGCTTTGGGACTGGGTTCCAGCAGCCCACACTAAGCTTTTTGGTGCTCAAGGCAAGTCCCTCAGTCCCCTCCCCCTGGTCCACCCCATATCACATCACAATCTCTGTCCACCTTCACTTGTGTTGGCCTCCAGATTTCTGGGATTTCGGAGGAAAGGAAGCCCTTATGTGGGAAATGAAAAGGAGCCTGTGAAAGTCAGTTGTCAAACAACTCCAAGGTTGGGGTAGGTGACAGGGAAGAGGGGAGAAGCTACTCTATTAGACTTCACAGCCTGAAATTAAAACCCTATTTCCCAGAGCCTGCTTCCTAGATCCTGGCGCTAGACGAGCTCTAAAGAGAATGCTCCAGCCTCTCTAGTCTTGAACTTGTCGTGGAAGACGACAAGCCACCTACAGAACAACAAGCTGCTATGTGTTGAATGCTTTCTGCCAACCTTGGTGCTCCTTAAGACTTTCCCTCTATCCCTCATCTCATCTTCTATGTGTCGATATCAATATAGCTATCAAGCCACCCCCTGACCTCTCTGTGCACGCTAAGTAATAATACTTCCTTAACCCTTCTATAAACCTTTAATCCTATAATCCAGCCACGAAAATGAGGATTGTTCTAGGCTTCCAGAGCCAAGAAGAAATCTGTTTGACTTAAATGTAAACAGCAATGGTTAAAAAGAGTGCTGCCCCTTCAGTCTCATCTCATGCCATCACTCCCACTTTTCACTTTTTTCTTAGTAATCAGTTTCTGAGAGAATTTGGGTTGGGCAGGGACTCATTATCTCAAGCCTGTCTATCATCATTGCTCTTGCTACAGTGAAATGATGGAAGACAGAACCATAAACCTCCCCACCCTGCACAAAGTGCCTGTGTGACACGTTTTTTTAATTATACATGAAAAAAACTGGTAATTTTAATTTCTGATCTTTACACTTAAACATTTGTATGTTATCTAGCTGTGATGGGGTACCCCAAAGTCCTAATGAAGGTTGTCTCATGGTTCTGACTCCATAAAAGCCACCATTGAATGCTCAGATAGCAGAGAATTAAAAAATTATGGAGTTTAAGGTGAGGAACCCAGTTTTCAGTTTCCGTAAGTCTTGTAGAGAATGGTTATGTAAGGATGAAAAGTTACACCAATATCAATAGCCGCACACACTTCAAATCTAGATTACGAACATAAATATGATGACTGTCTGCTTTTATGTTTTATACCAAGCCAAAGCTACCAGCCATTCACAACAAGCAACATTAATACTTTGATTTATTTTTTCAGAATCCTTCATAGAAGATAATTTTCAAAGAAAATGAAATATGAAGTGCCATGAAAGGAAGAATTTACAATGAGATCTGAGGGAGAGGACTCATTTCCCTTGCTTGGGGGGAAAAAAAGTTTCGGGGAAAGTGAGGGAGAGTTTGTGCCTAGTTAAAAAAGAAAAAAGAAAAAGAAAAAAAGGAAGAACAAAGACTAGCTGTGGGGCAGAGAACAGTCCATGCTTGGAAAAGCTGAATGAGGTGTGTCAAATAACATGAAGATTGAACTAAAGATTCCTTAACCCTAATTTTGAATAAAAACCACACTCACCTAAGAGTCTGATTATGGTAACTTTTCAAGTCCTGTCCAAGACTGGCGATCACCACGATCTATGTGGGGAAAGAGATACAAGAATCCATTATGCCTCAACATCTCACATTATAAATATGGTCTTTGATATAAATTACTCACAAAATGTACTAGTCTTGCTGGCACCGATGGCTATGTCTATAATACTAGATACTCAGGATGCAGAGATCAGGAGGATCACAGTTCAAAACCATCCCAGGCAAATAGTTCAAGAGACCCTGTCTTGAAGAAAACTTATCACAAAAAAGGGATGGTGGAGTGACTCAAGGTGTGGGCCCTGAGTTCAAATCTTAGCATTGCAAAAAAAAAAAAAAAGGTGCTAGTCTTTCACCTGATCAATTTCTACAAACATAAAATTAACAGTTTCTGTTCCTGTGTAGTATAAGAATAAATGCAGTGTGGTTAAAAATATCTACAGCACAGTTTCTGCCAGGGAGTTTCGGATACTTTCAAATTCCAGGCCAAAGGTTCGTTCGATATGTCTGTGCTTACAGGCTTGTTGTGTAAAAAGACAAGGAAGTGTGTCTGACTTGTCTGGTCACTTTACTGATTCCATGAGAGCCTTAGGGGAAGTGAGTAACAAGATCAATGCTGTATGTTCTGCATGCCCTGCTGTTCCCACCTCCCTGTCCCTAGGCACTGAGAATTGTCACTCATTTCAACAGGGACAGTATTTTGTCATGACTGCTGCGTGCTGTCTCAGGGGAGGTCCTCCGGTGTTGTAGACTGTAATGGGAGCCCCCAAATTTAAGAGCTACTTTTCTTACCCTGCCTACCCCGTTCCCCTGCTTCTAAGAAAATACTTAGCTGAGTTCTGCTCTCTCCCTAGCACCTCAAAGATGTGGAAACCACACTGTCTCTGCAGAAGACAGATGAACTCACTAGAAAACGATCAGATCCAGCCATAAAGCTTGTGAGTAAGGAAAGGGGCTCAAACCAGTGGTTTCCCCAAATTGATCCATTCAGTCCAAGCAGTGTGTATGACAGCCCCACCACACAGGTGGATTTTGTGTGAAAAATCAGGTATTCTTTGAACAAGGGTTTATTACAGAGAGCAGATGAAAAGAAAGAAAGACAAATGGGTAAAAGTCACATACCCAGAAAGATGCCTTTGTGGTCTCTTTACCTATCTGGCCTCCCACTTCTTCTCTTCTACTTTACCCAGCATGCACTGTGCCATCAAGCTCATCTCTTTACCAAAGGGCGAATTTGTTCTTCTGCTCAAACCCTTTTTTGATGGTACTGGGGTTTGAACTCAGGGAGTTGTGCTTGCTAGGTAGGTGCCCTACCACTTGAACTACGCCTCCATCCCTTTTTGTTTGGTTGTTTTTTTAGATAGGGTCTTGAATTTTTGCCAGGGCCAGGCTTAGACAACAATCCTCCTCCCAGTGTCTCTTGAGTAGCCAAGATCACAGGCACCCACTACCACACCTGGCTTGTTGGGTGACATGGGATCTTGCTAACTTTTTGCCCCAACTGGCCTCCAACCATAATTCTCTCTCAATCTCCACCTCCAGAGTAGCTGGAATTACAGGCGTGAGTCACCGCAATGAGCCTGCTCAAACTTTGTCCGTGACACCCTACTGCCCTGCAAACTGAAGTCCTAATTCCCTGAAATCAAGATTCTGCACATTCTAGCAGAATCTAGTATATATACTAGCAGTATATATACTAGATAGCAGTATCTAGTAGATATACTTTTTCTTCTATTAGTTTTCTACAGTGTGCAAATACCTACTCCAGTTGCTATGGTTTGAATGCATTCCCCCCAAAATTCACTTATTAGAAATTTACTCCCTAAAGTCACATGTTTATGGCATTGGGTGGGGGAGGCTTTGGGAGGCGCTAGTGTTTGTTCAATGAGGCCATGATGACATTAACAGCTTTGTAAGAAGAGGAAGGGTGACCTGAGCTTGCTCCCTCCTGTTCTCTGACATGTTGGGATTCGGACCCTCCCCAGATACCACGTCCAGAACTGTGAGAAATAAACTCCTTTTCTTTATAGATTATTCTGTCTTAGGCATTGTGTGATAGCAACACAAAACAGAAAAGCACCACTCAAACTGGTGTATCCTTTAGCCCCCAGCGATGTGCTGAAATGCCTCCTCCTCCTTTCTCCATCCAAATTCCACCGAACGTAAAAACCTTGTTCGTGAAACCTCCCTGAGCATCCCAGCATAAAGTGCTGTCTCCCCTCTAGAAATCCATATGAATCATTTGGCAATTAAACTTGCCTTGTGACTTCTCTTCACGTGCTTAATGTTATTTCCATAAATAGTCTACAAGCAACCGGAGCCTAGTGCCTTCCATACAGCAGGTGCAAAATAAGATTGGTGAATTCTCTCTGTGGATTTGATGCCTGTCTCGATGACACAGAGCCCTGCGCTGACCCTCTTGGGAGAAAACAGCAGCCATTGTAAGGCTCATGAACTTGGGAAGGGAAGACAGGGACCACAATTGCCATCTAACGTTTCTAAGGAAAAAATAAACATACAAAAACTCCCAGCTAACATTTTACAGAGTCTTCTCAGAAAGGCAGCAAAACCTAACCTGATTCATTTTCTCTTCAGAAAAAATGAAATATGATCAGCCTAAACACCAAGGAACGGCTATGTGGCATATCTAACGCAAACAAAATGCTTCTTCTAGTTTGGTCACAGGAAAATCACAAATCAATAAGAAAAGCTGATGAGAAAATAAAGTAACCAGAAAAAGGTAGCACTGAGTACAGGGAGAAATAGGGTTCTCTTCAATTACAACAGATTTACCATAATCCATCAAATCTGTATGATGAGAGTCTGAAATAGTTCTGCACAATGTTTTATGTGCAAAGTAGATAAAGCCAGAATTATCGTTTATGTCTGATGTTATTATGGGGCTGTCTAACACCGAATATAAGCTATTGTTTCAACTGCCAAAAACAAGTCAAACCATCTCTTGAGCTGAAGGGAGCCAGTGAATTTCCTTTTTTAAAAAAATGAAAAAGTTGCCGATCTGATAACCCAATGTAAACATGGCCGATGCAGTTTTAACATTTATCTCCACCAAGCCTATCTTCCCGAGGGGAAAGAGACTGAGTTGCTCAGATAATTACGGCTGTAGAGCTGGCTATATTATTTACTCATTCACGATCTAGTGGAAAGAAGCACTTTAAAAGTTAATTAAATGGGATGAGCTTCTTATGATTTAAACTTCCGTCTATAAAAGTTTGATTCAGCAAGTGCATAGTTGTAAAAAGCCTATCATTTGCCACAAATTTGCTTGCAGACCTATTTGCTCTCTGCCTTTGCAGCAGTGCTTAACTTTAAGTGAAAACACTAACAAGATTCGGGATGGGGCACACATGCAGATACCTGGCCTCCATTAAAAGAGATATCAAGTCGAAACCACTCCTTCAGAGGTATGGTGAATTTAGTTTTTACAGCAAGGTCTTCTCCTTTGACAAGATGCATTTGAATATGCAAATGGCCTGAAAGGAAAATTAAAGGTCACAAAAATGACCAAACTAAACACACAAACACACACACACACACACACACACACACACACACACACACACACGAGTAAAGTAAGTAGCTACGCCTTCTCAACCATTGTCCTAAGAAACTACAAGATTAAATCACTTTCCTTTTTCTTTTCAACAAAAACAAAGCAAAAGTCAGGTGCAGTGAGGCATACCTATAATTCCAGCACTTGGGAGTGTGAGGCAGGAGGATTGCAAGTTCCAGACCAAACTGGGCTATATAGTGAGACCCAGCTCAACAACAAAGACAAAAACAAAACAAACAAGCAGAAAAAGCAAACCAAAAGTGTTTATAAATAATACATTTATTTTAAGCTTCTAGGGAAAAAAAAAGGCTTCATTTGAAGCTTACATTTGGTTTCCTGTGGTCTGCCTTGAATAAACAACACCTAATTTCTGTTGTTTTTCCAAATGAAAAGAAAATACTTCTGAAATAATCTGAGCCCAAGACCCATCTAGATTTCCTCAGCTTATTCCCCCAACCTTTCCCAGTTGTCTTAATTCCCCGACCATTTTTCAGTAACTTCTCTTTACTGAGTCTACCCCCAAATAATCTATTTGGTGTTTATAGAAGGAACAAGTCTTTCTCCCCACTCCTATCTCATTGGATTACATATTTACACAAATGGCACGATTATGATGACCAGACAGTTGCCACTGAGTGGTTTAAGAATAAACACATTTCGCTCTTGGCAAGGAGCTGCTACACTGACAATGCCTCCCTTGTTATACACGGCGTCTAAGAAAATGACACTCTCACTGTAAAGATTCCGTTTATACTCACCCTCATCAGTAAGAAATACAGAAGGCGTGCCGTACATCTCATTAGAATCAACAAAGTACAGAATGCCACAGAGGCTGGCCTTGCAATGATGAAGTAAATAAAGCCACAATGAAACAGTAAACCTGAAGGAGTGAGAGGGAAAAAAAATTCTGCAGATTGATATCATCCTAAAACAAGCAATTAGGGTTAACAATGACCGGCTAAATTGCTTTCTTTCCAGTGGAGGGATGGATTTGCTTTACTGCTCACTCATCATGGGAGATCAGCTTGCAAGGCCTGATATTTTGAGACAAAAGAGGTAGTTATAGTAACTGCAGAGACAGGAGTTAAGCTTCATGGTACAAAGCTAGCAGACATTCTACCTTGAACCCAAAACTGTTTTGTGACTCTTTGAGGATCTCATGGGCCTACCATCTGAATTCTTATAAGGCTTATGATTCTTCCTAAGACTTATAACGTCAGACATTGAATCAACAATATGGATTTTGATAAAAGGTGATTTAATAAGAAGCTATTCTAATAGGTATGATTAAAAGAAAAAAAAACACAATTAGGCCTTTTTGAACAATTTTGTTTCTTTCAAAGATAAAAGCTCTAAGGTAGCAAAATGCAGTGCTGTGCAAATGGTGTCACCGTGAGGTGACGGGATACATGTATACTGTCTTAATGGTCATGTTAGGTTGTTCCATCCCCCCGTTCTGGCTGACCAATGTGAAATGCTCATGTGATTAGTCTACTCCTGGATGGAGCTACTTCAGTTGAGAAAATGGGATTCATGTATCATTTGTGGGGTGAGAATAAAATAACAGTAGCCAACTTAGCTAGGACACATTTAGTGTCCTAGTATGTGATCCAGCAATCACTCAGAAAATATTCCCAAACACCTGCTTGGAGCCACGCATCATGTTAGTGACCAGTAGTCCAAGATGAGGAACTGGAAACAAATGCATTTTGCACAGGAAACGGGGCTCAAGGTCAAACAAGTGCATCCTGTTCTCTCCGTCTACCCCAAGGGCCAATTCACAGTCTGGAAAGAAGTGGCAATGGCTCCAGGATCTTTGGGGATGTATCCGAGCAAGTCCTTTAGAATATTTTGGGCTTTATAATCCGGCCTTGAAATCGGTGGCACCAAACAGATGGTGTCACAGAACTCCCTCCTGGCCCACCCAGCTGAGCAAGTACATGAAGATAAGTTATTACAGGCAAGATTAGCGAGAACATACGCTCTGCAGAGTGACTCAAGATCCCTCCACAGCCAGCAGCACAGGAAGAATTAAATCACTCTGCTAAGCCCATCTGATCTGAAGTGGACCAGGAGCCATTTTCAGCATCTTTAGATGTAGTTGGATTTTGCCCAAATCAATGGAGGAGATCAGAAGCTGTGAGATTTCTGGCAGCCCATCCAATCTTCCCGGACAGAACAGGCAAAGCCAAGGCTGCAGTTTGTGCTTGCTTTGGCTGATTGCACCTGAAACCTCACAAATCCTGGTGCTTCAACAACTTGCTGCCTGCTCACCTCATTGCTGGGACCCACATGGAAAGACTAAGGCAAATGGAGGGCTCCCCTGTGCAAGAATAACTCAAGCCTACATTGGGGTGTCCAGGCCCACAAATTCTGTCTAAGCCAAGTAGATGTGAACACGTGTACAAAGCACCTACAGAAAGTGTGTCCTCCTAAGGACTTCCTGCACTAGCCCACCCAGATGCTCACATATAAAGAACCCCACCCCACCAGCCCTGTGGGCCATCCACTCTTACATTGGGTAGTCCACGCGCTGGTGTCGGGTGGCCTCCAGCTCTCTGTTCTGAAACCTTAGGAGTTTCTTCACGACACCCGTGTTTTCTCCACTCGAGGCATAGGGAAAGTCGAGGAAGGCAACCACATCTGCAAACAGCAAAACAGCCACCCCTTCGTTAGCTTCAGGAAAACATGCCTTTCCAAACTTCACCCTCTCAGCACCCTCTACCCGGTTCCAATCAAACATAAGTGCCATCACTAGAGATCCAAGCAAACATTCTTGGAACTTCAAATATGTGCCAGGTACAGACTATCTTCATTAGCTTTTATAACAACCCTATGGTTCTAGATCCTATTATTGGTTCCATTCTACCCAAGGTCAAGTTCACAATATTCAGAAGTGGTAGAGCCAAATTTCAGGTTTCAACTCAGGTATCTATGTTCTCAACCATTATACACAGTGTCCTCTTCATGCTAAGGAAAGCAATTTGAATTTGGGTTCTAAAGATAAGTTAATACTTCCATAGAACGCACGAGGATCCAGACACTGCCGTAAACATTTTATATACCTTAGTTCATTTAATTCTCCTTATTGTTCCTGGTTTACTGATGGGGAAACAGTCAGTTTGCCAAAATATTAACTAACACTTTGTGTATGACAGGCATCATGGTAGACACAATTCAGGGATAAGCTCACTGAATTTCACAATAGACTATGAAGTAGGTTCTTGCACTATCCCCTTTAACCGATTAAAACTGAACCTTAGTGAGGTGAGGGTTGACTAAAAAAGAGCTGAGAATGAAATTCAAAGTGAAACAATTTGGCTAGAATTTAAACCTGCACTGTTTCTTGTTGTTTTGGTTTTGTGTGATGTTGGGGATCAAACCCAGCGTCTCACCCATGCTAAGCGCACACCCCGCCACTGAGCTACATCCCCAGGCCTGTTTTGGTTTGGGTGAGAAGTTTTTACATCCTCAACACATTACCCTACACAAAAGTGACTAAGCACACTCCTTGAAGCTGGGGAGGTTCTACAACCGTGAGGGAATTCCTTTCTGAGGCTCCCGAAAGCATAGGGATGCCCATAAAAAAAATGTTAAAGGGAAAACGGAATTATTTCAGTTCTATATTTAATACATCCTGCTTTAAACAAGGCTAAGTATAAATTTTCTGTTTTCCGTATTTCCCCCACCAAAGAAAAGAGAATTCACTTAACTCAACCCAGCATTTCTTAAAATGCTCTTTAATTTGAATATCATGATGAAATGATGGGAACAGTACACTTTCCTGGGCTTCTTGGAAGGGAGAGCTGACAATCGTGACAGTCACCAAATACCAATATTGGCACAAATCATGGGGTCCTCAGCCTGGGATGCAGGAAATTGCATCCCAGCTGTCATTTCCCAAACGGGAACAAACACTTTTACTAAGTAGAGCAATACCTTTGCTTTAATGTAATTTGCAAACCATCCAAGCCATTTTGAGAATCCCAGGCCCTTGGGTTATATTTAATAAGATTAAATAAGCCCGTTTTCCCTCAGGGTCCATAAATGTTCCTAGAGATGTACTTGGAAACCCAAAAGGATAGAATTATCAGTTCCAACAGAAACACTTAAGCTTTTGTATTTTTTTTTTAAATTTGAGTTCAACTTGTATCCATTGGACTTGGGGTCTGTTGTGAGAGTGGTGGGGGGATTAGAAATGGAAATACTGCAAAGGTGTTTTTGGAATCGGAGGGAAAAATTCACCAAAGAGGTTGATGCCAGCTCAACCTTGGTTTGGCTTCTACTGTGTTGAGTGAAGCAGAAGGGACCAGATGGCCACGTCAGACCCTAGGAAGCCTTCTGCTGGTGGTTGGTGTTACTTAGTGCATAGTAGAAACATCTTTCAAAGCAAATGGGATTTGTTCTGGCCAGCCTTACACTAGTAAAAAGAGACTGCATCGAGGAGGCTCCTAAAGTGAAAGGCGTTAGGAGAGAATGTGGATGGGTCTCTCCCTTTCCCAAGGTTCCAAGTACAGCAGGCCAAACAGACAAACCTTTAGCCAAAGACTGCAGAGGGAAAAATCTCAGATCCAAAGATCTAAAACAATTTTACAAAAACATCACCTTTTGAACCCAACAAAAGACATGGTCATTTCCTTGTAAAATCTACAGCTTTGATGGTCTACAATTTAGACTTCTGTGGTAGTTTTTTCCTCAGTATATTATTGCCTTTCCATTATAAATAGAAGTAATTCACAAAAATGAAATTTTGGAACAGGATGAATTTTAGAATGCATCTAATCCAGGATAAGATAATAGGCTTATTGTCTATTAGTTGAGCATGGCTACTAGAAATGCTAACACATAGTCCTTGACTTATGGTGGGGCTATATCTCAATAAATGTCAATGGCAAAAATTAAGTATCAAAGTGAATTTACTACACTTAACCTACCAACCACTGTAGCTTAGCCTAGCTTACTTTAAAATGTGCTCAGAATACTTACTTTTGCCTACAGTTGGACATATTCCTGTACCACAAAGCCTAGTTTATGATAGAGTGTTGACTATCCCATATAATTTATTGAATACTGTACTGCAAGTGAAAAACACAGTGTCTGTATAGGTAGGTTTTTTCGCCACCAGCAGCTGAAAAACCCTAAGTTGAACCATCCTAAGGCAGGGGTTATCTGCAATTGATTTGTGATATCTATCATGGCAGTGGAATGGGGAAATGATGGTACACCTGCCATTCACCATTAAAGAATTTGCAGGTAGGAAAACTTAGGTCCAAGGATATTCAATGGCTTGTCCAAGTACTTCTGTGTATTCCATGACAGCAAAGCCCTTGATTCACTCACTGCCATCCTCAGAGCCTGACAGTGAACAGTGCTAGATGCGAATTCCATATGTAATCAATGAACAGATGGATAAAAGTAACTGTAGGGAAAGCAGGATTTAAACCTGTCTTCTTTTCTCCCAACACTTTCTACAATGCTCTAACATGCGCCAGGCTACCTAAGTCAAATAAATGCCTCTGTCCTTTCTAATCCTTTCCTCAAATCCCTTTCTTTGGTGTTTCTTACATGAGGAGGTAGGGGGAGGGGTATCATTAATACATAAAGCATTGCATGTTTGGAACTCTCCCCACTTCACTGTTTTATTTCCTTGAATCTGGAGTAAGAAGAGGCACTGAGTATTCACTGATGCAGTCCCCTTCAGATGAAGACAAGAAAAATGGCTGTGTCTTATCAAAGGTTGTGCAGCTCATAAGAGGCTCAGCTCTGACTCAAACCTGGGCTCCCCACTGCACTCCAATGGGGTTTCTATTAATCACACCATCTCACAAGCACCCCCAGAGGTTACTATGACTGGTGTCCAGCTGGCATATGACTGGTGTCCTCCCTGTGTGGCTACTGGCTGCTGAAACGCTAAAACATCTCTGTGCTGGTTAGATAACCAGTGTTGCCTTGAATTTCCAAGGCTCCACTGCCCACCCTACCCCCACCTTCAGGCTCATTTCCAGTGCCACCTTGCTTCAGCACTCAGTGTACCACCCTGTGAGGCCGACTAGGGTCCCCACCCCTTCCTGGTTGTTTACTTTTAATCGCATCCCAAGAGGGTGGGGTGGAATCGCACAGCACATTCTCAAGTTCAGGCAGGGAATCAGAACCCTGGACATGGGTGCTGGGGAAGGTCCCTTCCTCCATGTGACACAGGCAGAGCAGGCCTTCTTCAGCTTGCATGCGGAGAAGTTAGACAGTCTCCCTGCAAGGAATCACTATGACTAAAAGTCTGTGAGCAGAACCTGGGGGAAAAAGAAGTATGATTTTCCAACCTGAGAAGTAAAGCCAGAGAGCACAGGTAACTGAATAACACTTTCCAAACATAGGACATTAAAAAAAAAACCAGTCACAATCAGGTGTTTTATTTTCTTTAGAGCCAAAGCGTGACAATAAAGATGCTATATACTAGCAGAGATGATTTAAGTCAGAACTTCTCCCAAAACATTGAGCAGTGAAATGGGTTACTTGGGAAGTTTGTGGAATATTCACTCCCAGGAGTTCTGGGAATAAAATGAATCTCACTCTTAGTCATTTACCCTTCAATATACTTTCATGTGTGCACGAGGACACCTGCAGAGGGTTTTCTGGGAAGCCTTGTTGTTTAAAGCAAAAGACTAGAAATGACCTGCATGACCACCCACAGAAGACAGGTTAAATGAATTATGGACCATCAGACAATGAAATGCTAAGAATCTGTTGAAAAGAATAAAGTCAGGCGATATGTACCGAAAAAGAAAAATCTCTCCTGTCTCACTAATGAGGACAGGCATACCTTGCCAGTCTTTTCTCCTTTGCTTGTGCAAACAGGGGCTAAACTTAAGGCTTCTATGTGCACAGAATATTTCTAGAAGGAGACACAAGAAACTCTTGTACCAAGTTTGCTTTTGGGAGAAGGACCAGAAATAGGGGTGGGCAGAACATATTCTTCCTCCAAACCATTTTACACAAATTTTTTACCAGGTACATGTATTACTTTGGCAGCTAAGGAAGAATATCTCCATGCAAACAGGGAGAAGAAACCAGCCACATTCCACAGCCTCCCCGTCCCACCCCAAGCCTTTGTGTCTCTTCAGCGCAGTCCAAATGGGCTTCAAAGAGGCAAAGTCCAGTGGGTGAAGGAAGCAGAATGAGTCACGTTGGTAAAAATTCATCTTTAAAAAAAGTATTGCTCCTAATTTAGAGCCCACGTTAGGACTGTATTAGCATATTTCAGAGAGGCGGCATAGCAAAGTCGAAAGAATCATGAAGTTTGGACTCCAGTTAAAGAAACTCTCCCAAATCTCACTTTTCTCCTTCGTTAAGGAGAGGAGGAAAATAATTCTGTCTTTCTCGTGGGACTATTATGGGGATCAAATGACACAACGTGCATGAAAAAATGTTTTGAAAATTGTAACGGCCAATGCAGACACTAGGCACTAATTAGTGTTATTACTGAAAACTTCAGACTACTGTGATTAACTGGGGGAAGAAAAAACTAGGCCTGTGTGTGTGTGTGTGTGTGTGTGTCTTAAGTACCAAATATATAGCTTATAATTAGAAAAAGGATCGTGTGTCATTGGCTTGCATAGGCTAGCTGCATAGACAGTTTTTTTCACCAA